GTCAGTATTGTATTTTAATCGATCCAGTGCAAAGTTTTATCAGAACATCATCATCGTTTGATGAGCACCATTATCATTATAAACTTTACAATTCTCGGTCAGCCAAAACAATAAGCTTCAATTATTCACCTATACTGATTTCTCGGTGAACGGTTGTGATTCGGTTAACCTCATCCAGTTCCCTCACCGACATACTCTGAGCTCCACCTGCTTAACTATATGTTGTGTTGGATAAATGATAGCTGGTGACCGCTGGTCACATTGCACTCCATATGTGCTTTCGTACTAAATTGTAGTCATCGGGTTGAACTGACAGAACCGTGAGTTGAATTCGGAATGCTAATGGAAGCTACCAATCCTAGATCGCAGTAACCTGTCTAACCAGCCGATGCTCACCTTATAACTTAGTCCCGTGGAAAATGCTAAACTGTTCGCTGAGGTATTATGCTGTATGATATGTCAACATTGTGGCTTTCAATTTCCGTAGGCTATGAAGACCGTCGGATGCATTTATCACCATTGTGATCTCACCGAACCTCGCAACTAGCTCCAAAGAGCATATGTATTCCTTGGTATAAAATACTGTTCACTGGTGCAGTGATCCTGAGACACTCACACTTTCACTATTACAAAAGTTGTATTTTATGGATGTTGCTTCTACCTTCTGATGGTTCACTTATTTTACTGATTGTACATCTCCTAACATCCTTCCCTCCGTCAGTCGTGTGCTAAGTTGTTCCCTACCTTTGATTACGCACATTCCTTGTAGCCTTTTCAATATATGTTGGATCAAACTGCCTCTCTCTTCTCTACTGTTCTGTATTCGGCACGTCAGCTACGTGTCATCGCTATCAGCTTGTATCCGACGTAACATTGGTCGAATAGAATCTGCTGAAGTCTCATCAGTATCCTCTCGAGAATGCCCAGCGACGCTTTACCAAAAGGCTATGCGGTTATTCCTCAAAAGTGATATACAGAAACGTTGCGATAAAATTGGTAGTGACCTAATAGGCTTTGGAGTATGAAGCTGAACCTGTGTTTCGTTACACGATCATTAATCATCATGGGCATAATTCTGATTACGGTGCTTACATACAGATAGCCAATAACCACCAAACAGATAAAGGTCACGATTCGGAAGTCAATCACGAAACTCAAAGGTCATTTCTTTCTGATCGGCTATTCAAAGCTTTGGAATTGACTTCCTAAATATATCAGAACTTGCTTTTAACCGCATTGTTCAAACATGCGATTAATGGGCAATTGATCATTCGAAACGCAGGTAATATGTTTGGGACATCACAATCTCTGGATAATGCTTTCAAAAATGGTATCGATAGTGCATGACAAAATTGCGAACAAAAATGTATCCGAGCTAGATTAGCACCCGATTATCATATTCTAACCCACATCCCTTTCGTTTGATTTCCGTCCCGGTCCGAACATCGGATTACTTTGTGTCACACACATAAATAGGAAATCTGTGGTCCAAATTTTCTATTTTATTATGCGATAACATGAAACAAATGTAACCTTTTTGAACTGTTTCTTCCAAGGAACAGCTTCTCGCAAATAAACATTGCCCCGAAAATCGATGAGATCTGTCTAAAGGTTTTTAAAACTCTTGCTTCCATCATAACAGTGCATCTTGCAGCGTTTTCTTAGGATCCGTTTAACTTCCATGCACTCCCATCTGAGTGAGAAATGAACTGAACATCAGTCCCAGAGGGAAACATTCGGACCCCACTAAATACCGACCTAATAGTCTCCTACTTGGTTTCACACAATGATGGAATAGATAACTTCAGACAAACTGGTGCAATATTTTGAAAGTCAACAAAGCAGATTCAATCTATAACATGGTTTCAGGCGCAGACAATCTTGTCTCACCAATCCGCTCCTTTGGCTGGACTCAGGCGTCAGAGTGGCTGAAGAAAGTGTCCCACTAAATGTTAGCTATTTCGGCTTTATAAGGAATGCGAAGGAGCCCCTCACCTATTTTGCTTCCGAAAGCATGGTGCATAGACATAAACAGTTACCCGCTCACCTAAGTAGAAGGTCATCTACATGACAGAACAACCAAGCTACGAATTGCTGACACTCATTCGGAAATCCTGCGCGTCTCCTGTGGTGTGCCGCCAGGATCTGTCATCGGCCCATTAAGGTTTTTAATCTATATCATCCAGTCCCAGCAAATATTGCATTTCTGATGCGAAATTTTTCAGGTGTTGCTAAGATCTGAATAGCTATTCGCTCGACATCCGACCGCGCCTGTTTCCGGAACGATCTAAACCGGATAGACGAATATGCATAAATGAAGCAGCTCCATGTGAACCCTGCGAATTGCCACCTGTTGACATTCAGCAGCAGTCATAACAACACAGCTCTTGGGATATCACGTCCAACAACAGTAACCAGTGAAGGATAGATGGGTATCATCATTTAAGAACATCTGGGCAATTCGCTCCAATGTTAGAGAGCAACAGATGTGGCGAACTTGAACTTAAGACTTGTGAGGCGAGCTCTTAGTTCTTTGGAGCGACAACTGTACCCTTGCTGATTAGCTTGTATCTTCGTCCGCCCTTGAGCATGCGCTTCAGGCCTAGCATCCAGGTTTAAAACGAGACAATTGTCTCTTAGCGCAGCCTCAAATAAGAGCCATCAAGACAATACGGACTATCTGGGCTCAACTAAAAGAATCACCTTTGCTTAATTAGTGCGCTTCCCTCAGAATACCGACGGCTTCGCGGAGACCACATTCTTACCTAACGGATACTAGCAGAAATCCATCACCCTTTGAGATCACTAATGACCCTAACTCCTAAAAACCGGTGGCTAGGTCATAATCTGAAACCAACAACTCAGCACTCACATTTGGGCTGTGGAAAGCTTTTTACTTTCTTAGAATCTACTCACACGGGGATGTACTACCAGCACATGTGGTGAGCGCACAAAATATCATGACATTATAAAAACTATTACACGAGCACATTTATTAGGCATAATATAACTCCTTTTTCGCGGCACAATACCGGCCGTTAGCTCACCGGAACGATGTCCATCCATCGTTAGTGACTCAGCCGGTGTGCCACTTGTATATTTTTCATTTCTTTTATATTGCGGTAAAACAGTTAGGTGTTTGCTACCTGCAACCAAAGTGGATGATGCGGATGATGACGACGACGATGAAGATGATGACGATGGCGATGATGATGAGGATGATGATGATGATGATGATTGATGATGATGATGATGATGATGATGATGATGATGATGAGGATGATGAGGATGATGATGATGATGATGATGATGATGATGATGAGGATGAGGATGATGATGATGATGATGATGATGATGATGATGATGATGATGATGATGAACAACTATTAGCCTTGCAGGTATCTGGTAAATGCTACAAAACGGTGCGGTAAGCTGATTTTTCCATGCTACTGGTACTTCAAGTTCCGCGCCAGAACATATTGGTTTAGAAGTTTTGCATTTGCCCTCCTGCGTGTCATGTAAAACTACTGCTTTTTATACCATCATATAATATTGAACTAGAGAATGATCGAAAAATTTGCAATTAGTTTACTTATTTGCCGTGTGATCCATTGGATAAGTACGGCATCCAACTAACAAATAACAAATAGGGCGTACTTCAGTAGTCCTGCAAAGCACTCATAAAAGTGATACATTTCCAAGGGCTGTAATAATTTTCACTCCCTCCAAAAGCATTCAGTCGGGTATATGAAACACTGATGAAAGAGTACTTTAGCGTTGAAGCAAATAATTCTCACGACCTTGGCGTATTACATACAAGGCCTTGAGGTACGTTTGTTCGCTTTACTTAAAGGAGAAGGCGGATTACTCTACGGGGCGTAAGTGTTAGCTCATATTAGTTTGTATACTTGTTACCACGCATTAAAAAGACATGGGTTTGTGAAGCTGCATTCGAATTCAGATGATGAATGCGCATCAGGGACGAAAATGCTACACCTAAACGTGACTTAGATCTCAACTTTCACATAAGTGTTAGGAATCTTAAACAACAGGAGATGTATTCAGTTTGAGTTGTATGCGGTGAAACATTACAAGAACTAAAGCAACCTTGCAGCTTGTCAAACAGCAAATGTTTCTACTTAACTAGTTTATGTCTAGAATTGGTTAAGACTACTTGAAAGTCTCTTTTTCCAACCACTGAACTTGCCTATAAATCTCCTCTATGCGAGTGCGCCGTCGGTCTCAGGACTTTCATACTTGTCCTCCAAGCTTAAGGACTCACTGAGGTTGGTTTTCAAAATTTAAAACGAAACTCACTTCTACAACACATATGGTGAATTGTATGAATAATATTTGATGAGACGGCCATTCTTGCCTGGAGGCTGAATTCTCTGTTCATCTAATATGCACTTTTTCGGGGATGAAGTGTGTACTATTGATCCAGAGTAATGCCAACAAACGCTATAAAAATGGTTGCTTACTCATGGCTGCCAAAGGGACACAGGAAATTCAACAGGGCTCGGTCACTCATTGGCAGCATCTCGATTTGCAACAAAAGTAAGCCACACAAGGGAGCGAAGTGTTAGCTTACTGACGGCACCTGCAAAACTAAACCCGCGAGTTTGCGTTCAAGAAAGCAGGTGCTTAAAGTTTAGCACCATTATGCATGTACGTGATATGATTAGTAGGTTTTAATAAACTGGAAAATTTTTCGAAGCGGTGACATTCACTCTTTTGAGAGACACATCGCAGTACGCAGTTCATAGTACAATTAAGATAGGGCAATCAGCTAAATTGCACACGGTATTCCCATCACTATCAGTAGCGGTATGAGGAGCGCTACCTCGAGAAATTCTTTGGTAAACAAAACTCTAGAAACCCATTTCTATAGAAGAGAAGAAAGAAACAATGGTCTCATCAAATTGACAGCCGCTTTACTTTGATATAAATTTTAACTGCTTTAGTTGAGCCAGGGAAACATTCACGCACTACATACTTACTTTCGAGGGGACGCCTATCATCAGCGGTATACGTTGGATAGATGAAACTGAGGAGTTTTGTGAAATGATATTGAAACTGCGGCTAGGCTATAAGTATTGGGGACCCAGTCATTGGCAGCTATTCGAGGAGTACAGCAACAGTTCGTTCAGCCAATTAGATGCGCGAAAATCCCGCGAACCAGGATGCTTTTTCTTCTAATAGACATTGGACAAAGGTAATTAGCGGTTGTTGCACACGAGTTGAAATCAAATGGAAGATTTTTACAGCGGTGAATGACTGTCTTATCTGAGCTAGCCTGTGAAGACTGATTATGTCTGTATCTTACAGTTTGTAGGAATCGGCTGAGTGGCCCCGCAGTTCTATTCAGCCTAACACCGGTAAAATCGCATATGTATAAATTATATATTTATTCTATATTTATACATGCATAACGTATGAAGTTCCTAACAATGTAAACGGTTGAGTGCTTACTGTTTCATCACCAGGTTGATTAGATGGCGGTTGCAAATCGCCAATAGAAACAGCGCACTACCGAACAAACCGAGTGACTGAAAATACCTCTGTCTTATTGCTAGTACATTCAATGTAATTGAGGCAGGACGCACTGCTTTCAAATATTCCCGTCGCAGTTTTTATAATTAGCGCACGGGAATGGTTCCCCTTTCCATCTTCACAGACGCTTAAGACCTTTATCAAAAATAACGCTGCGCTGCAAGTAGTGAAGTTGTCTGCCGTCTACCTACCATGCCATAAAACACAAAGGATTGAGCGTGGTATTACTAGCGCTTCCCTGAACAGGCTATTGCTGAAGCCTCGGTAGGGCGTTACGTATGATTGGCTTCAAAACTCGGTAGCTCCAGTAATGTCAAGGTAAAACAGATTTTGTGACTTGAGTGGACAGGCTGCGACTTTCAGTACTGAACGCGCGTCCACATTGGCTGCGCACTTCGCTTCCGTATTTACAGGTGGGCATGCAAGTATGCGTAACTCAAGGTGTGAACCTCCTACGCAGCTCGAATGCCTAGATGGCAATGTGGAAGATGTCCGCAGTCGACTCACCAGTCTTGACAGCACGAAGCCTGCCGGACGGAACGGCCTCCGTCTGCTAATCCTAAAGTCCATATCAGCCATTATCTCGCCTGCTGTGACTGATCGGTTCAACTGATGGTTTTCTGAAGGTGCATTGCCCAGCGACTAGAAACGCTAAGTAGTGAAGCCGATCCCGGAGCACGGTGATGAGACTAAAGTGGAAAATTATCGACCGATTTGTCTGTACTCTAGGTTATAGAAAATGCTCGAGAAAATTGTGAAAAACGGTCTTCTCTAGCTCTTAGAGTAGAAAGACCAAACTCCTGCATTGCATGGTCACATGAAGGGTCACTCTTACATCACCAACCTGCTGTTGACGCGGCTTGAATGCTTGAAGACTTTGAACCCGGAGAAATCAGTAAATGTTGTCTTCGTTGATTGCAATGGTGCTTTCGAAAAGTGAACCATGAGATCATGCTCCACAAGCTGAGGATGCATGGTGTTGGTGGCGCACTACACCAGTGGATCAGTGACTTCATCATCAAGAGAAAGTGGCGGGTACAGGTGGATGGTCACCTAACGGAATGGTACCCGTCCATTAGACGCGCACCCCAAAGCACAGTACTGGGGCCCCTTTTTGTTCCTGATCCACATCGACGAATTACCCCAGCTTCTGCGGTCGTCCTGCGCATTGCTTGCAGACGAACTAAAGATTTGGCGGGTTACTGGTTCTTCCGACGACTGTGACCTCCTTCAGCAAGGTCTTGACCGCCTGTCCCTATGGTCTACAGACGTTGATCTGCGAGTCAGCCCGGTCAAGTCGTCATTTATGCGTCTGGGAAAGCATGGTATTGGGCGTACGTACACCATAGCCGGCCAGCCGCAGCATCCAACAAGCTCCGTAAAGAATCTAGGTCTGCTCTCACGTTGTGAACTGTAGACAACACGAACAGACTATGCAAATGGACTACACCTGCTTTTTACACAGAGACGCAGATTCTGCACTTGGCCTGCAGCAATTGCCACCCGCCTGTTCACTTCCAGGATAACACCGGTGCTGGAGTACGGCTGATCCGCCTATTGTCCGATCACAATAGAGATTGGAACGGGTCCAGCATGTAGCTACCCGGTTCATCCCCAGTTTACGTGATATGTTGTAAAAGGACCGGTGAAGGCCAGGGCTGTATACTCGGTCATGTTGTCGACTTCAAGTTGATCTCATAATGACGCACCGCATTTTGCACCTGGGTCACTTTTCTATGTTGAAGCCGCTGCAGCACATTCGCGCACCAAGCAGCACACGTGTTCCCCGGTACAAACTAGTGGTAGCGGATTTAAAACCCATCGCTCACCCTCTATGTTTTGAGCGTCGAGTGGTGACATATTGGAACAAGTTGCTTGAGACAAAAGTCGAGGCGAAATCGGTGTCGGAACTTGAACGATTGCTCGAATCCAACTTTGCGGACTACAGGTATAGGGAGGGTGTCGCACCCGGATAAGATGTAGTGCAGCTGTACTATATTGCCACCGCTCAGATCAGCGACGTGATTCAGTGCAGGTGCCCGATCCACCTAAGATGGAGCAACACAGACGTTTATCTCCTCGCTCTCTAATTTCGGTATTCAGTATTCGGTATTCAGTGTTCGCTCTAAGTATTACATATGAGAACAACCTGCAATCTGAGGTCGGTGTGAAACTTGCTGCGGTGTTTAATCGAACAATCGGACTAGGGCAGAATAGGGATTAAAATAAGTGACGATGGGACTACGCATTTTAGTATGGTTGCAGATCCCTGTAAGATAAAATGCATCTGGTAGTCTTCGTTTACTTTAATTATAAATGGAAGTAATGGGAATTTATAACTACTAACACAAAGAAGAGCTACAATATCCGGTACTGAGGAGCAAATGCGTAAATTCACAAGAAGCAAGTACGTTAAGAATGGCCATTGGAATCCCTGCAGTGTGACGCGTTTCCGTGTAGCGGAAGCATTCCGAGCAGCAAGTGCAGGCGAAAACCTTTATGCGTATCTCTGTCATCAGAAAACGCCTAAGCAGCATGCAACATGCAGGGAAGCATGTAAAATTTGTTACCCAGCCACGTTTGATGTCACTTACGGCGTTTTATGCTCATCTGAAAACCAAAGTTTAAACCCCACCGAACTATTCAGATGACGTTAGGAACTGAATGGTTTTTCGTTCACAAGTTAACGCTTTCTTGTGAGCTGAGCAAAGTAGATCTAATTCGACATACACTATGTACCACAGAAGAGAATCGTTCTCGGTGATTCAGTTTCCGCAAAGTTTATCGCAATCAGTGCGTGCAACATGAAATACACAGCATTGTGATTGGTATCCCCATGTATGCAAACTCACAAGGGATGTAGCCCAACAATCCTAAAACTCATGGTTCAAACACAGCAAACAGAAACCGAAGTGTTAGACCGTTAGCAAAATATCAAAACACTTTCCAACTGAACTTCGGTTAAAAGCTAAAGAAGCTTTGCAAAGACCAAACATGAACTCAACCGAAAAAATAAACCTATCGGCAATGACAGAGGAGCATCACTCGACCGCTCATTTCCTCGATTTTGATGTACGTCTAGACGAGGAATGGGACGTACCTTGAACAAATCAAGTTTCAGAAGATGGATCACTATCCCATCACAAAAACGAATAACTGCCAAAATCACACTGGCCGACATTCTCTGATACCTAACCTCTTTGGCCCCATTTGGGCTCCTACAGACTAAGATACTGGCATGTCTCTATACCAAAGCCAAATGAGTTTTCAATAAGCTGGTCGAAATGTAGGACCGCCAAGTTTCTAAGCCATGAAATATCACCGTTATCACTGAGACGTGCTTACACACTGGAATGACGGACACTGATGTTCTGCTGCCGGACTGTCGCTCATCCAAAACTACAGACTCACTAAAGACTAGAGAGGTAATTCTATATTACCGAAGCGACCTACAGTGAGAGATCATGGAGGATTCAGACTCGCAGTTACCTGGTTTATTTCCTTGACGCCTGCAGTTAAAAGGCAAACACTTGCCTTATAGCCTTGGTTTACCACTCCTATCTCTACAATCGGAACGGGCTACCAACTTGGGAGTGCTCTAAAACGCACCCTAAATAGGAGGCATACTCACATCCCTATCAAAGGTGATTTCAACGTGTACACTGTTTAGAAGCCCTTACCATAGTCGGAGAACAATTCAAAGCCGACCTGCAATAGCTCGTAACAACTGTTCCACTTTACAATCCCATCATTTTGCCCACTCGGTTTAAAACAGGTAACAAACCATCTGTGTTGGATTGGGTGCATACCAACGAAGAACACATGATTGATGTGTTGGTTGTAGGCTGTCCCTTGGGCTGAAGTGTGTATGCAATCCTCAGTTTCAACTTCATCTGCTATTTGATGTATTGGAATGAGAACTATGAGATAATGCGCACCCTCACACACTACGACCGCTTAGCCAGCTAGGCAGTGCCACAACCTTGTCCTTCTTCGATGAACGCTTAACAGAAGTCTCTTGTATAGATGCTCCAGAGACAAGAGTTTGCAATGGGCCTAACCAGTTTCGTTCGTAAGGAGTAGAATTTGAGAATAAATTGCAGTACCGAACACAACATGAGCAGCATTTAAATTAGCCCCAAGACCAGAAAATTGGGACAATAACGTAGCCCAACGCAACCACTGAACTCAGCTACTCAGAAATGGCGAAGACGCACATCCGGGGAACATCGCAAACATCGTCAGCGCTAACAACAAACTACTGTATAAGTCCGTCAGTTACCGTCGTAAGGTGAGTTAGGGGTTTCCTCCGCTCCGGATGGTGGATGGTCCAAGATGAGCGGCTACAGAAGCAGCAAACGAGGTACGGACTCGATATGCCTTCACGTTTTAGAGGTTCCTTACAATCAGACGATTTGCCTACTTTTGTTGCCCCGCTGGTACGACTCACTCACATCTCTTTTACCGC